AATGATTCAGCAGATGGAAGACTCTCTTTTCCTCCTCTCCCTTTGAAATACATGAAGAAATCTTGATTTAAAAAGAAAATCTATGTGGCTGGGGTGCAAAGGAGACGGTATTTGGGAAAATCCCACCTCCTTGGGCCGGTGCTGTGATGTGGCCAGTGCAACACCCCACGTGCCGACAGAACCCACTCCGTAACTCCGCCTTTCAGACAAATGGGTATTAAAACAAAAAGAATTGGTTTCAACCAAGCTTCACACGGCATTTTGGGGGCACTGTCTCAAGTGCTCTCCGAGTCTTAACTCAGGCATTCTTCATGGCAAGATGGGGGGTTCCTGTCATTATCTCCTTCTAGCAGCAAACCAGGGCCCAGAATTCCGAGCAAAGCAAGTCACACAGGGTCCAGAGTGTTGATTCAATTAGCTAATCTTCGCCTTGCAAGCGCCAGCACCCCATGCGGGTGTTGGTTCAGGTTCTGGTTCCTTCACTTCCTCTCTCTCTCTCTGCTTGTGGCCTGGGAAAGCAGAAGAGGGCAGCCCAAGGCCGTGGGACCCTGCACCCATGGGGGACATCCAGAAGAAGCTCCTGGCTCCTGGCTTCCGATCAGCTCAGCTCCAGCCATTGCAGTCACTTGGGGAATGAACCAGAAGGACAGAAGATTGTATTCTCTATCTCTTCTTCTCTGTATAAATCTGCCTTTTCAGTAAAAATAGATACATATTTTTAAAGTTATTTTTGATGATGTTTACGTAGTTGATCAGCGTGGGAAGGGTCAGGGGTTTGGGAAAAGTGGGTATGATCATTGTTTCCAAATCTTCTTAGAACTTCTTCTTCCTGATTCTGGGGGAAGGGAAGGAGCCATACCCACCTCCTTCTTTCTTTTTTTAGATAAATATTAAAAAAAAAAAAAAGAAAAAGCTAAAACTGAAAGCTTTAAAACAAGGAAACAAACACGTCACATGATGGCTCAGTGGCTGGGCTGAGGTCTGGCTCCAGGAGTTCCAGCCCCCCAGAGCTGCCCACTCAGCCACACTGCACCGCAGGCTCTGACACCAATGCTAAATATTGAACAGGGTCACAAAAGTGATCATTACAACAGACCTGAAAAGAAGAACAGATTTTTTAAAGGATAAAATGCGTATATTTGAAAGACAGAGTTATAGAGCAAGGGAGATCTTGCACCCACTGGTTTATTCTCCAAATAGCTTCCATGTGCTGGGATGCATCCGGGCCAAAGTCAGGAACCAGGAGTTCCAGCGGGGTTACAGGGACCCAAACACTGAGGCAAACCCCTTTTGCGTTCAGGCTCATTAGCAGGGAGTTAGATTGAAAGTGGAGTAGCTGGGACTCGAACTGGAGCTCATTTAGGATGTTGTTGTTGCAGGTAGCAGTTTAACTGCAAACACTGACTCCTGAAAAGAGGGGTTTAAGTAACCTGGCAGGTGGGAGGGGAGGGAGTTTTAGCTCACAGCTGGAAGCAGCAGAAATGGGGCAGGTGTTTGGCCACCTGGAACATCAGCACCCTGCAGCAGAATGTCTAGGTTGAGCTCTGGGTCCACTTTTTAAATTTTTTTTTAATTTGAAAAACAGATAAACAGAGAGAATGAAAGAGAGAGCTTCCACCTGCTGGTTCACTTCCCAGACGGCCAGAGCTGCGCCGATCGGAAGCCAATAGTCAGGAGCTTCTTCCAGGTCTTCCATGAGGGTGAGGGGCCTTGAGCTGTGTCCTTCATTGCTTTCCTAGGCTATAAGCAGAGAGCTGGATGGGAAGTGGAGCATCTGGGACTAGAACCAGTGCCCCTAATGGGATGCTGCTGGTGCTACAGGTGGAGGTTTAGTCTGTTTTGAGCCACTGCACTGGCCCCCTGGCTCCACTTTGGATTCCAGTTTCCTGCTAATGTGCGTTTTGGGAGGCAGTAAGTGATGGTTCAAGCAGCTGGGTCCCTGTCATCCTCATGTGGGACGCTAGGATTGAGTTCCTGGCTCCTGGCTTTGAGTTGATGTGGGCATTTGGGGGGTGGGGTGGAGGGGAGGAGTGTCAAGGTGAGCCGATAGAAGAAAATTAGATAGCTGTGTCTCTTGCTTTCCAGAAACAAAAGAGAGAAAAAAGTAAAGGAATCCACCTGTTGGGGGTGTGGGTATATGGAGACGTCAAGGCCAGACCAGGTTTGGCCCTGAAAGTGGTACCTCTTTGGGATTATGACATCAGCAGCCTGAGGACAGGGCGAGCAGCAGGACCATCTATCCCTGTTCAGATAAGCACCCCAGTGCCTGGAGAATGTGTTACATTGATAACCATGAAATAAAGAATAGATAAAACCAGGCATTTTTATCACTTTCTCTTACTAGGAAGAAATTCTAAAGGGATGTTGCTGCTTGCGTGGGCCAGGAGCCGGGGCAGCAGGCCAGGGAGCAAACCGGACCCTGTGGCTCTGGGTAGGTGAGCCTAAACAGCTACTGTGTCAAAGGTCACCATGGTGTCAGAGGTCAAGCTGGCCTGATTTCTGGTAAGGTGGCCAAGGGGGATGGCAGGCAGTCCATCGCAGCTTGTATGGCGGTTGTGAGCATTTTACAGGAAGGGTGAGGGAGAGGAGAGGGTGTGGCTGCGGTTGGGAGGTTTCATGGAGTCAGAGTGGTGAGATGGCACAAAGGGAGTTGTGTGTCCGTGGGACAGCATCGGGTGGGCCTGCGGTAGGTGGGCCTGTGGGTGGGCAGCGGTGGGATTAAAGATCCCACCCCCCCCACACACCCCAGAGACAGTGAGATGGGGACCCTGAACTTCTGGCCAAGGAATGCCTCCCAGTCCTTGAAGGAGACGCTGGGTTATTCCTCCACACTCACAGGAGGCCCTCTGCTCAAATCCAAATCCACAGTTCCCTATCTCAAACACATCTTCCTGCATCCTTGATATAGCGAGATGAGGGGCTGGTGTGGCGGCCTGGCCGGTTCATCCACTGCTGGTGACATCACCGTCAGAGCACTGCTTTGAGTCCTGGCTGCTCTGGTTGGGGATCCAGCTCCCTGCTGGTGCTCTTGGGAAAGCAGCAGGATACCTCTGCCACCCACATGAGTTATCTGTCCACCTTTGGGGGATGCAGAGGAACTCAAAGACAGGGAAGCCATCCCAAGAGCAGGTGGTGTAGCCTGGAGCCGGTACAGGGGGCCCAGATCTTCTCCTGTGGCTTCTGACCAGCTCCTGTCCACCTGAAGTCTGGCTTGGATTAGCCGCTCAAAGGCCCGTCAGGGAGCTGGGGCCTGCGGAGAGTAGAGTTGTTCTTTTAGTAAAAGCTGGCTAACTTCTGATGACCTCTGATGACCTCTGAGGCTTGCTCAAGGCTGATGGAGGCCGTGGCTGGGAGAGTGGCTGGCTCTGCGTCCCCACTCCTCACCTTGCCCCCATCTTGGATCCCCGTGCCTGGATCCTACAGCCTACAACCCTCTGCCTTTTCTCAGATGGAGACCTCTTGAGTCGATACACAGCAGTGGATTCCTAACCAGGCACCAAGCACCTCCATGGGACTGGTGACAGATCGTATGAGCAGATCCAGGCCTGAGACCCAAGAGCCTCTAAGGACCCAGGGAGAGAAGAAAGAAAAACAGGAGCAGGAAGTAAAGGATGGCCTGGAGATGGAGGCAGGTGGGAGCGTACGGAGAGAAAAGGAGAGGGTCATGACTGGAGAGGGGTGGGTCAAAGAAGGAAATGTCAGGGTGAGTGGTCAGGTTCTGCAGGTGGGGTGGAGGTCCCAGGGTACGCTGTTTTCAGGGACAGAATGGGCAGGAGCAGGGGCAGTGTGGATAAGGCAAGGCGAGTGGCCAGGCCACATGTGATGGGCTCGGCTGGGAGCTGTGTTGGGGATGGAGTGGAGCAGGGACGGGGTCTGAAAGGCCATCCGGTCCCTCTGATTGCTCAGGGAAAAGCAGTTAGAGGCACTGCAGAGAATAAACCTCTTACAGTGTCCACTGGAGGGCATGGGGGGTTTGAATCCCAGCTCCCTTTCTGGTTTCCTGGTGATACACACCTCGGGAGGCAGCAGGTGGCAGCTCAGGGCTTGGGCCTCCCTCTCTCCGCGTTCACTGGAGAGACCTGGATGGAGTTCTGGGCTTCTGCCTGATCTTGCAGACATTTGGGGAACAACCCACCAATGGAACTTCTCCCTCTCTCTGCTTTTCACATAGGATATAAATAAATAAATAAGAAAAAAATCAAAAAAAGATGAGGCCACATCTGGGGCACTCATTGGACAATGAGTGAAGTACAATTGAGAAAAGTACAATTTCCATTGTGTACATATGCTGCTTTGTAACAAATCAGCTTGGATTTTTGTCTTTTTTTTTTTTTTTCTTAAGTAAGACAAAACCTAAAAGTGCTCACCACACAAGGCAGGGCTTACTCATGAGGCAAGTCAGGAAAGAGAAACCTTGCAGACAGGAGAGCTGCGAGCCCTCTCCTGGGCCAGCCCGACACACCCCAGCCAATGCTCCACTCCTTCCAGGTTCCGGGCTCTGCTGGTCTCTCAGCAGCTTTAGGCGCCCGCCCGTGTGTGTCGGGTGAGTGCGTGGTTGAGGGATGCATCCCCTGCCGGGGCAGTGACTCCAGCGCCTTGTGCTGGGACCGTGAGCAAGGATTCACAGATCTGTGAGAACGTTGTCACACGCCTCCCGCTCCCCCCCACCCCCCTCCAACACCCTCTGTCAGAATCAGCACAGGAAACGCGCCACCCAAAGTCGCATCAGGGGACCTCAGATGGCAAACCACCTGCCCCTCCCTTCTACTCCCCAGAACCCCTCCTTCCTCAAGTCCATTTCCATCACCCCAACCCTGACATTCCCACCCCAAGGGACCGGACCCCCACCTGCACCCCTGATGGCCTCGGTTAACTCTTCCCCTTGCCCCCAAACGGGGTCCCCAGGTACCCTCTCAGGCTCTCCTTAGAGGAGCTGACTGGGGTGGGGCTTCATGCAGGGGTGGGGTGGGTGGAGTCAGGGCCCACTTCCTTTCCCCTTGGGGCCCTATCTGCCTCAGTCCCGCCTCAGCCTCAGGAGCCGTTGGAGTGGCCGCCCCAGCTCTGTGATTATCAACCGAAGCTGGTGAAGGGGTATGATCTGGGAAGCAAAGGTCCTTGGTGTGGGGGCTTGGGGCTGGGCCTGTGACTGGGGAGGACTCCTGCTCAGGGATGGTGGCAGGAGGCGGGGAGAGGATCCAGGGGCTGAATGGGAAGAGGGGAGCAATCAAGGCAGGCCCAGAGGTGGAGGTGGCACTGCCGGACTCGGAGTTCATGGGGAGTGAGTGCATCTGCTCCCTGGTACTTCGTGATAATAGCAAAAGCCAGGGTTAGAAAGAGCTGTTAGACTGCAAGCCAGGCCTGGCAGCTGGCAGGGAAGTGCACCTCAATCCTGCTTCTCCGGTGTGCCCACCTGCAGGTCCCATCTCTTGCCACTGCTGATCGCCCAGGACATGGCCCTGCTCCTCCTCCTTCTTGTTGGGGGCTCCTGGGCCCCCAGAGTGGTGAGTTCCCAGACCGTGTTCACCACTTCACTGTTGAATTCCGAGCCTTCCGCCTCCTTCACCAGTTTGGCTGTAATGGACTCTGGGAAGACCAACTTGAGAGATGGTGAGAGGGAGTCCTCCCACAGCTCCCTGGCACCTGAATCCCAAACCTCCCAGGAAGTTTCCTCTGAGAAGTCATTCATTTACCCCGAGACTCCCAATGTGACCAGGGATCCTGTTGTCTCCGTGGCAGAAAGTTCTCAGGGAGCCCACATCCCAGCCACGATGATCAGCTCTCCTCTAGCAACCCCAGCAGCCTCTGGTGACCTCAGCGGATCCCTTATCACCATGGTGACCAGTACCTCGGGGACCTCTCCCGTCTCCAGGGGTAGCATGCCCCTGATGGCCACCCCAAAGGCCCCTGAAGGCACTCTGTCCTTTTCAAGTCCAGCTCAGGGGTTGAGTGGATTCCCTGTCACGATGGCAACGAGCACTGTGGAGACCCCCAGTGGGAGCAGCGGAACCCCCATCACCATGACAACCAGCTCTGTGGAGACCAGCAGTGAGACAAGTGGAACCCCCATCACTAGTGCAACCAGTTCTGTGGAGACCCCCAGTGGGAGCAGTGGAACCCCCATCACCATGACAACTAGCTCTGTGGAGACCAAGGATGGGACCAGGGAAACTTCCATCACCATGGCAACCAGCTCTGTGGAGACCCCCGGTGGGAGCAGTGGAATCCCCATCACCATGGCAACCAGCTCTGCCAAGACCTCCAATGAGATGAGTGGATTCCCTACCACCATGGCAAGTAGCTCTGTGGAGACCACCAGTGGAACCAATGGTCACCCTGTCACCACGGTCCCTAGCTCTCTGGAGACCTCTGGCACTGCGGTAGAAACTGCTATGGTGACTACCAAGGAGCCCTCTGGAAACACGAGCGTGCAGCCAGAGATGGGTGGCATGATGCCGGTGGCCATGCTGGTGGCTGTGCTGGTGGTCATAGCTTTCCTGGCCCTGCTCCTGCTGTGGCGCCGGCGGCAGAAGCGGCGGACTGGCGTCCTGACGCTAAGCAGAAGTGGGAAATACAACGGTGCTGTGGATGCCTGGGCTGGGCCAGTGAGGGTTGCCGATGAGGAGGCTGTGCTAACAATCACAGGAGAGTCTGGGGGACCGAAAGCCTCGGGGACCCCCGAGGTGGAGGAATCTGGTCAGCTGCCCACGCTCAGCACTTTCTTTGGCCGGCGGAAGTCTCGCCAGAGCTCGGTGGCTCTGGAGGAGTTGAGGCCTGGCTCAGGCCCGGGCCCTATGGGGGAGGAGGAGGAGCCGCTGGTGGGCTGCGAGGAAGAGGCTGCCGACGCCCCTACTTCCAATGGGCCAGCAGCGGGGCCTGGGGCTGAGCCTCCCAGCTTGTGAATGAGCGGATGTTGGAGCCGGCTGCCCTTCCCCACGCCCCTACCTCTCTACCTTCCCTGCTACTGTTACTTCCAACCCTTCTCTCACCAGGCGTCTCCAGATGTTACCACCCTGGAGTCTCACTGCGCATGCCACCTCCATTCTCTGAATCCGGCAGCTTGCTCCCTCCCACCCTCACCCTTGCAGGCAAATCCCTGTAACCAGCCCCTTGGCTGTGATCCCTCGCACCCCCCATGGCTTTCCCAGAGTTCCACATCTCCCATCACCTTTCTCCCCGTCTTTCTCTCTTTGGAGCCAATCCAGAGGGTCTGTCTGATTTGATCTGGAATCCTGAGAAAACCCCTCCCTCCTCCCTCCTCCCTCCTCCCTCCTCCCCCAGGAGTCCAGAGTGTGCAAAAGAGGCGAAAGGGCCCACACGTGAACTGCCACGGGAATGAGCTATAAAAAAAGTTCTTGCCGGTCCCTCTACCCTGGCCCGGCCATGACCTTCTTTGGAGTCCTGGGGCCAGTGGCCAGCCTGAGGCCCGTGGGCATGTAGCTTTCCCAGACTCTGGGCTGGTCCTTGTTCCTGCCCCAGCCCCCATGCTCCCCACGCTGCCCTCCAGGCCTGGACTGAGGTGGTGGCAGGCTGACGCTTCCTCCTTCTAGGGGCAGAGGGTGGGAGTTCCTGGCCAGGTGTTGTTTTCAGACGCTCAGGGCAGGCAGTGTCCCTCTGTGTGGGTTGATTCCTGAGTGTGGTCTGGGCAGGCTGACAGTTCCCCCCTGTGGGGGGGAGCAATGAGTCATAGGGTGTTGGGGTGCTGGGGGTGGGCAGGAAGGGGTTGCAGTGGCCGACAGATGTGGGTCTCGGTGCCTTTCCTCTTCTGCTGAGAATTTGTGTGTCCTTGTTTTTGCTGAGAGCCAGTAGTGCGCAAACACACACACACAAAGACCATAGCCCAAGGTCACACAATGTCAAAAGTTAACGCTCAGCAGGTGTGACCTAAGTGCGGGCTTCCTGGCGCAGCCTCCGTCCCTCTTCCTCGAAAGGCTCCACGCTCCACTGCACACCAGCACCCACACACACTGCTGCATGCACCCTCATTGACGCACACACAGCTTCACATTTAGACACCCTCACTCACACACATACATCCTTCACACACACACTCACACACACAGAGGCAGGGAGGCAGCCTGCAATGGGGGTTCAGTGCTGTGGGACCCTGCCTCTCTTAGATGCTCAGGTTGCCGTTGGTCTGGCTGCCTGCCTCTCTCCCTCCTCCTAGGGCAAGCAGTGAGAAGGAGGCCAAGCAGGAGAGTTGTCAGGCAATGGGGGAGCGTTCTGAACTAATGAGGAGAGACTAAGACCATCCCCCCTGCCACCTCCTTCCCCGGGTATGCTGAGAGCAGCTAGGATATGATGTGGGCCAGAGGCCTTTGCTAGCTGCCCAGGGCCCAGAGGAAATTTGCAAAGAGGAAGTTGTTGAGACAGAGTCATTGGCAGCACACCAGTGTCCAACTAACCTATAAAGCCTGGAGGCTTCTTGGGAGGACCAGGTGGTCAGATTGAGCAACAGCAAGAGCTCCAAGGAGAGAGAAAGGGGTAGAAGGGGCCTCAGGTCCAGCTGCCTCAGCTCTGTGGGGCCCAGCCTTGGAGCAAAGTGGTCTCCTGCTAGTTGGGGTAGGCACTCCAGGAGTAGCGGGTAAAGCGCTGGCCACTTTCCCCTACTTCTCACATGGTGTGTTTATTTGCATAGCAGAAGTAAGCTGGAAAAGTCCCTTGGACCTACCACAACTCGTGGTTGACATTTGCCAAACCAAGTGTCACCATTTCAGTTTTAGCCGCTCCAGTGACTGCTGGGAGCCCAGCAGCTCCTCCTCTGCCCCCGTGCCGCCTGTCTGCTGTGGTTGACTTCTAGGTGCTGAAGGAAGCAGGGAGGGTGATGGTGGTGGGGTGGTCTGGGATTTCAGGGCAAAGAAAATATGAAATGTACTGTAAATGTTAAAATAGAGGCTCACACCACGTTTCACCAGCGATCGTGTCAGAAGGGAGGGATGGTGGGACGGCGGCATCGCTGTTATATTCCTGGTGGCTACTGTGCTGCCTGGAATTCCATGTTCAAGTTCATTTGGATAAGTAAAAACCAGAGCCAAGGTAGATACTCTCAGATTCCAAAGAGCAGGACTGAGAGAAACAAGTAGGAAGCACAAAAGATGGTGGTCGGACTAAATACGTCACTTACGGCAACGGCTACGCATACTTGTCAAGGTCACTCACAATTGTGTTTTCGAAAGCCAGGTGACCACTGGGGAAGTGCTTATAATAGCATGTTTGTTGGAAACAAAAGAAAGTGGTTAATCTTTTTTTAAATTTTCATATCTTCGATTCATTTTCTGTTATTTTTAAATAATAAATTCATTTTATTTTTTATGATGTTTACATAGTTGAGAAGGATACATGCCCGTGGACCGCTGACTAGGGTGGGGAGGGTAGAGGTATAAGTAGATGAGACAATTGTCTCCAATCTCCTTTTTTCTTCTTATATCTGGAGGGTGTGGGAGAGACAAGGCCCCTTCCCAGCAGCCCAACCAAAGCAGTACATGGGGGCGGGGTGGGGGGGGGCCAGGGAAGGGGATGGGGGATGGACACTCGATAACATCCCAGGGGCCCCCGAGGAGCATGTTCTGAGGCTATTCCTTAAGTGGTTCTGATTGTTCTGAGATGCTGTTGATTTTGTTGCCCCATGGTTGAGGAAATCCTTCCGAGGTGCACTGGCTGACATGGTCCATCTTACAGCCTTGATTTGCTCAGATTCTCACTGTCAGAACTTGGCTGGGAGAGCTGTTCGATTGATACTGCCATCCGTGGTACTAGACGCTTCTGCAGGCCTTCAATGAATGGTTGTCATGTTCCCCATGTGCATCTGGGTATGCTGTCTACTGCACAGGCCTCAACAGTGAAGGAGACCCAGTTCTGACTTATGTACTCCTCGGTCAGACCACAGATCCTGTGATTTTCACCATGGCTGGAGTTCTGAGTCCAGTGGTCCAGTTGGGAGGTGGTTCTCCCCCAAAAAAATCTTCCTAGGGGACCCCAACCTGATTCCTGTGTGTGCCAACCAGTGTGGGGTCTGCTTAGTACAACATCCATATTAGCCTATGCACACACTGGTGGTTGCAGTTGCTGGGTCAGTTCTGTCCCTAGCTCCATCTAAAACACAAACCAATGGATGCTACAGCCAAGCCCATTCCTGCCCACCACACACTGTGCCCTCATGCACACTGGTGGGAACTGCAGCCCAGTTGGAGGCTGCCAGAGGAAGCGGCTGGTCCAGCCGGCAGGGTCAGCCCTTCAGCTTGCTGGGCCCTCCCCCGTCCTCCCTGGGGACCCTGGCACGTCCATGGCTTGGAGAGCCAGAAGCCCTGTTCCCACCTGGCTCTGCCCAGAGGACCAGGCTGGGAATAGGGGAGCCGGGCTCTACCATGTGTGAGGGCTGCACGCCTCCTGGGTGGGAAAACTGAAATGGAGGCTTGAGTTCTGTTTCCATCCTCTTTGATGTATAAACACATTGTTTTCAAAATATTTGCTTTATTTATTTTCCGAAAGGCAGAGTTAAACAAGAGAGATCTTCCATCTACTGGTTCAGTCTGATGGGCTGCCACAGCCACAGCTGGGCCAGGCTGAAGCCAAGAGTCTGAAACCCCCTCCAGGAGTCTCACAGGGGCGGCAGGGACCCAAGCACTTGGGCCATCTTCTGCTGCCTTCCCGTGCATGTTAGCAGGGAGCTGGATCAGTAGTGGAACAGCTGGGATTTGAACCTGTGCTCATATGGGATGGCATTGTCACAGGTGGCAGCTTAACCTTCTAAGCCACAATGCCAGACTCTCAAACACTTTTTAACCTTTTGGAATTTTTTTTTTTATCTAAAATTTTGAATTTTATTGTACAATTCTGTATAGTCTGGGATTCTCCTGCCCCAGTCCACCCCGACTAATTTTTTTCATATTGTCACAACAGTGTGCCCAAATGTGCCGAGTGGTCTGGCTCCATTGAAATGTCCATCACACCAATAAGATCCCTCCCCCTTCTCATTCAACCAGCCCTGAGAAACCACTGAATTGTGTCTGTCACTCTGTATCAATTTGTCTTGTTTAAAAAAAAGTTTATATTTTTATTGGAGAAGCAAATATACAGAGAGAAGGAGAGACAGAAAGATCTTCTGTGTGCTAGCCCGCTCCCACAAGAGCTGGAGCTGAGCCAATCTGAAGCCAGGAGCCAGGAGCTTCCTCCAGGCCTCCCACATGGATGCCATGGCCTTGGGCCATCCTCCACTGCTTTTCCAGGTCACAGCCGAATAGGAAGTGGAGCAGCTGGGATATGAACCGGCACCCAAATAGGATCCCAGTGGATGCAAGGTGAGAACTTAGCCACCAGACTATTGCTCCAGGCCCATCAAGTTGCCTTTTTTTGAGTGCATTTCATGTCCAAAACAGTGGAAGTTTTTCCCTTTGTTATAAGATTTAGTTATCTGTTTGAAAGGCAGCGTTACAGAGAGACTGAGACAGCGTCTCCCAGGGTCCCCACCACTCCTGCCTGCCATCCCTTCAGCTCCTGCTCCAATGGAAGCAGCCAGGGCTGTTCACGAGGCTGCAAGTCTTCTTCTGGCCACCAGGTGGCAATGCTGTACGGCGTCGGGGTCCTGTCTGCTGTCCACTGCCCTGACAGGTCCCTGACTTTCTGGGCGAGGACTCGTGGATGCCCCTGAAGAACAGAGCTGCAGTCTCATTGTCCCTGCCCTCTTCCCATGGGCGGTCTGCCCCTGTAGAAACGCCCGCTGACCTTGGCTTTGGGTTTGGGGGAGACCCCCAGGGCCAGAAAGAAGCAGAGGAACCTCCAACCCCGACCCCTAAGTTCACAGCGCTGACTCTGCCATCAGTTTGCTGTGTGGCAACCTCGGGCCTGACATGCCCTCTGTGGTCCTCCGCCAGCCCGCCACTGGCCCTGGGTAGGTGTCTGGCTCAGGGGTTAAGCTGGGGACACTTGGAGCCCAGACCAGAGCACCTGGGGTCAGGGGTCAGGGCCCAGGTCTGCGCTCCATGTCTTTTTTCTCTTTTAAATCTTCATTGATTTTACTTGATACAGTTACAGAGAGAGTGCTTCCATCTGCTGGTTCACTCCCAAATGGCCTAAACAGCCAGAGTTGGGCCAGTCCATATCGGTGCTAGTTCAAATCCCGGCTGATCCACTTCTAATCTAGTTCCCTGCTAATGGCCTAGGAAAGCAGTGGAGGATGGCCCAAGTGCTTGGGCCCCTGCACTCACATGGGAGACCAGATGAGGCTCCTAGCTGTGGCCTGGCCTTGTCCCAGCTGTTGCAGCCAACTGAGGAGTGAACCAGCAGATGGAAGCTCTCTCTCTTGTCCTGTCTCTGTAACTCTGCCTTTCGAATAAATAGGGTTTTTTAATATATATATTCAATAAATCTTTATTGGAAAGTCAGATCACATTTACAGAGAGAAGAGAGACAGAGGGAAGGATTTTCCATATACTGCTTCACTCCCCAAAAGGTCACAACAGCCAGAGCTGAGCCGACTTGAAGCCAGGAGCTGATTTGGGGTCTCCGACACAGGCGCAGAGTCCCAAGGCTTTGGGTCGTCCTCGACTGCTTTCCCAGGCCACAAGCAGGGAGCTGGATGGGAAGTGGAGCAGCCGGGACACCCACATGGGATCCTGGTGCTTGGAAGGTGAACATTTAGCTATTGAACCATCAGGCAAGGCCCCAGTACCCACCCCTGGAATACCTGATCTTCTGCCTGATTGGCTGTGGCCAATCCACAGGTTGTCACCGTGTATACTGTCCTCCCAGGCTGTGAGAGGCTTCTGTCTTTTGTCCCCTGCCACTGCTGCTGCCCGCTCCGACACTGGCAGTGTTGGCCAGCAGCGGGCTGTGGGAAGATTGCCCGGGCCTCCACTTCTCAGCCCTGGCCTCTGGGGCATCGCCTGTACTGGCTGCGCTCTGGGCCAAGTCCCCTGGCATCCTGGCTGGGCAGCTGTTCTTTGAGGCCGTCTTCACTCAGCTTGGCTGCCAGGTCTACTGGTTCCTTCCTGAGGGGTCGGAGCTGGTGCCTGTGACCAAGGTGGCTGAGGTCCGGGGCCCTGCGCACTGCCTGCTGCTGGGAGAACGGGTGGCCCTCAACATGCAGCCTGCTGCAGCGGCATTGCCAGTGCAGCTGCCACTGCAGTGCGAGTCACCAGGGCCACCAGCTGGACGGGCCATGTGGTTGGCACGAGGAAGACAACGCCGGGCTTCCGGATGGTGGAGAAGTACGGGCTGCTGGTGGGCGGGGTGGCCTCCCACCGCTATGACCTGGGAGGGCTGGTGATGGTGAAGGACAACCACATTGTGGCGGCCAGGGACGTGCAGAAGGTACATGCTCCTCCCAGGTGGCAGTGGTGGCAGTGGTAGGAGGTGTGCCCAGACCCAGCCTGGGCTCCAGGGCTGCCAGAGCCTCAGCTCCAGCCTCAGCTGTTCCATCTGCAGAATGGGCTACCACTCCTGCTGTCCAACCCTGGAACAGGTTTCCAGGGGAACCCAGGGTCCATCTTCCTGTCTGGAACATCTTCCTCTGAGTCCCATGGAAGTGTCAGACCCAGATACCAAATGTTGCTGGTATCTAGCCTTGTTTGCACCCATAAAAGTGATCCCCGCATGCATGATTGTACACCAACAGAAAACATTGCCAGATGTACCTCCTGTATCAGTCCCAAGTTCATTACCCATTCAGGACCTTTCCAATCCCAGTCCCATCTGTGCTGCCTGCAGGGGGCCCATGCCAGCCTCAGGACCCCCTCCTATTCCTGCAGACAGTGCGGGGGGCATGGCAGGGGACAGACTTTGCCCTGAAGGTCGAGGTGGAGTGCAGCAGCCTGCGGGAGGCCTTGGATGCTGCCCAGGCAGGAGCCGACCCGTGGATGTCATCTCCCTGGGGGTGCTCACCCAGGCGGCCCCACCCTTGGACTTCTCCCTCAAGCTATTTGCTGAGGGGACTGCTCCTGGGCCCCAAGCCCGCTGGTCCTGAAACCAAGGAAAGGGATGCCAGCGGCGGTGGGGAGGTGGTACCCCCATGGTGACCAGTGGCCACTGGGGCATAGTTAGCGTGAGCCTGGGTCGATTCCTGCCCCCGGCTGCCCACTGACCTCATCGCTGTGCATGTCAGTTTCCCATTCTGTAGAACGGGTCTAATAAAGACTCAACCTTTTGGGTCTTTCTGGGTGGTCGTGAGCACCTGGCGAACAGCCTGGTCAGGGTTAGGAAGGGCCACAGGGCCCCCTCCCAGCTGCACAGAACCTCTGCTGAGTCAGGTGTTCATTGCATCAATGGTGCTTTGCGGTCACCATGAGCCAGGCAGCTAAGGTCACAAGAACTACAGCAGCCCGTGCAGGGAGCTCACGGTGCATGGTAAGAACCCATACCCAACGGCCAGAAAGAACTCTTTCACACATAAAACAGGACTCCTAAGTGATGAGCTGGGGTCAGGCCCTGGGGAGTGGCAGAGACCCCACTCCCACCCTGTGGCAGTAGCTTGCATTGTCTGCTGGCAGCTTTGAAGCCAGGACTGGGGAAGACAGGATGGCTGGGGCACCAACCAGCTCCAGACCACAGAATGGTAGGTCCAAGGCTCTGGACTCGGCTCCAGGAGCAGTTGGAGGCCAGCTGGGGTGTGTGGTCAGTGTGACTGCAGCTCAGCCAGGATTTGCATGGGCAGGTGTGGTGGAGGAAGTCAGCATGGCCGTGATGGGGGGTGGGGAGACCAGAAGGAGCCTGCTGAAGAGGCCTTGGTGTTGGGGCGTGGCTGGGCGTGGCTGAGCATGTGAGAGACGGATGCAGGTGGGGGTACTGTACATCAAGCAGGAGGGAGATAAACGTTTGAGTCTTCCTGGGGCTTATATTCTAGGGTGCGGAAGAATAAAGAGAAATCACGTAAGGAAAATACTGAGGTACCAAGGACCAGATGTCAGGGGCCAGGGCCGTGGTGTAGTATGCTAAGCCTCCACCTGCAGCACCAGCATCTCATATGGGCACCAGTTTGAGTCCTGGCTGCTCCACTTCCCATCCATCTCCCTGCTAATGGTCTAAGACATCAATGGGGGATGACCCAAGTCCTTGGATCCCTGTAATCATGGGGAAGGCCTGGAAGAAGCTCCTGGCTTTGTGGCCATTTGTGGAGTGAGCCAGTGAGTAATGGAAGATTTTTCTGTCTCTTCTTCTCTCTGTAAGTCTTCCTTTCCAATAAAAATAAATAAGGATGGGGCCGGCAGCATGGCCAAGTGGCTAAAGTCCTCACCTTGAACGCCCCGGGATCCCATATGGGCGCCGGTTCTAATCCCGGCAGCTCCACTTCCCATCCAGCTCCCTGCTTGTAGCCTGGGAAAGCAGTCGAGGACGGCCCAAAGCTTTGGGACCCTGCACCCGTGTGGGAGACCCGGAGGAAGTTCCTGGATCCTGGCTTTGGATCGGCATAGCATCAGCCGTAGCGCTCACTTGGGGAGTGAATCATCGGACGGAAGATCTTCCTCTCTGTCTCTCCTCCTCTCTGTATATCTGACTTTCCAATAAATAAATAAATCTTTTTAAAAAATAAGGCCTGGTGCAATGGCTCCATGTCTAAATCCTTGCCTTGCATGTGCCAGGATCCTAGTTTGTGTCCAGACTGCTCCCAGCTCCCTGCTTGTGGCCTGGGAAAGCAGTAGAAATTGGTCCAAAGCTTTGGGACCCTGAACCCACGTGGGAGACCTGGAAGAAGCTCCTGGCTCCTGGCTTAGGATTGGCTCAGCTCTGGCTGTTGCAGCCATGTGGGGAGTGAGTCAGCGGACAGATCTTTCAAAAATCTTTTTAAAAAGAAGAAAAGAAAAAAGGAAGGAAAAAGAAAACCAAATGTCAACCCCCCTTTTGGTCACCAGAGGGCACTGCAAGCACACAGCCTTCCATCTGCCTCTGTGCTCCCTGCCTGGACTGGGGAGACCAGCAAAGGTGGCTGCAGGTGCTAAGACAACATCTCAAGATGAAAGCTAGGAGGAACTGAAGGCAATCGAAGGCCACCGCTGGTCCAGCTTCATCCAGCTTCATCCTCTCATCAGATCCCCATCCCCCTGCCCCAGGACCCCAGTGGGGTCCTGAAATGTTTGCAGAGAGACCTGCAGTTGCACCTGCCAAGGCTTCCTCGGCTGTCAGCCCGTGTTCTTGTCTCCTGCCCCCATGCTGCTGGGCATGACCTCAAGCAGATCTTTACTGCCGCCCATGTGGTCCCCACCTCTTCCCAGACAGATCCTTTCTGAAGAACCAGGAGCCTTCTTTTCAGACGTGATGCTGGGAGCCCATCAGTCCTTGGGAGAAGAGTCTCCCACGTTTCCGGCTTGCCAACCTGTTGGGGCCCAGCCCACCTGTGGTCTCTGTGTAACTATGATGACCATGGCCTGCCAGGGAAGGCTGGGATTCGACTGCAATGTGACCATTTTGTAGCACTTCCCAAGTCATCAAAAGTCTCTGGGCTTGTGTCTCTGGGGCTCAGGTCATGCAGGTTCTGCCTTGGATAAACCTTATATTAACTCTGAAAGAAAAAAAAAAGTGGAGGAGGAAGAGTCAGATCTTCCATCTGATGGCTCACTCCCTGGGACTGGACCAGGTTGAAACCAGAAAGCCTGGAACTCTTCCTGGGTCTCCCTTAAGTGAGGCAGGACCCAAGCACTGGGGCCATCCTCCACTGTGTTCCCAGCTGTTTAGTGGGGAGCTGGACCAGAAGTGAAGCAGCCAGGACTTGCATCAGGGGTCTGTTTGGGGATGTTGCTGAGCCAGCATCGTCACGGCCAGCCTTTCAAGGCAGTAGGGCAGATACAGTTCCCTTAATGTTTCAGCAGTCCTCTGTTTCGTTGTAGGGACTTCCTGGGTGACAGTTCCTCAGGAACATTGAAATCCCGCTCTCTGAGATCTGGAATAACGCAGCCTGTCTGAGGCCACCACCAGCGGGGCATCATGGAGGCTCTAACCACGGCTGGGCTAAGAGTCGGTCATCTCTGGCGATCGCTGTGCCAGCTTCCCTGACCCAGCCATGCAAGCCTTCTTGTGGCAGGTGCAGGTGGCTCAGCGCCTTCCCAGGAAACTGCCAGAGGCCAATAGCATCATCGCCCGTGCCCAGTTGGGTGGCTGCCTACTGAAACATACTTTCTCCCTTCCAGTCCTTCAACTCAAGAGATTCCAGAGCCTTCACAGCTCTGACTGAGGGCACAGAGTTTGAGCCACGGCTTGGGACAACCACACCTCAGATGGGACTGCTTGGGTTGAGTCCCAGCTGTACTCCTGACCGAGCTTTCTGCTAAGGTGCACTCTGGGGAGCAGCAGGGGGTGTCCCCCACGTGTGAGGTCCTGCTGGAGTTCCTGGCTCCCAGCCTTAGCCTGGCCCAGCCCAGTTCTGGTTGTTGAAAGCATTTTGGGGGGTAGACCAGTAGACAGAAGATTTCTCTTTCAGCCTCTCTGCTTTTTCAATAAATTAAAAATAAAAGTTTGAAGTCATAGCACCGCAGAGAGCTGTCCCTCAAGTCACACTCTTTCAAAGTGTGGGATGCTTGTAAGCAAAGAAGGAAGTAAGAGTGTGTTGGAATCCTAGCTGTATATTTACAGGCCAGCTCAGGTCTCTGCAAGGCTGGGCACAAGCCATGCTTGTCAAAAACAGCAAGAAGAAAAGCGACAAGATCCCTTCCCCATCATCTCACAAAAAACCAAGAGACAAGGGAGTTTGATTGAGCTCCAGCTGCTGGAATATGATCGTCTTGGAAGTCCTTCGGCATGGAAGAGGGCTGCTTCCTCTGGGTGAGGAAGAGGGGGACTGTTCCAGGGAGGGAGCCATGTGTGTGAAGGTGACTACAAGGAAAGAAGCAGTTGGGCACAGCTTGGGGCACAGGTGCTGGTTCATTCCCTGCAGTGGTCATCTGCAGTGACCAGGGCTGGGCCAGGCTGAAGCCCGGAGCCCAGATCTCCATCTGGGTCTCCCACGTGGGCTGTCATTTATTGCCTTTGCAGGTGCATTCGCTAGAACCCTGTCAGCTTCCAGCAGCTGAGACTTGGAAATCTGCTCCAATATGAGATGCCAGCAGGGCAAGTAGTGACTTAACTGGTTGTGCTGCAACATCGGCCCCACTGATGTGTTTTAACTGGAGAAGGGCAGCATCCATGCAGTTAACTCAGTGGGCTTCATCCACGCAGTTAACGCAGTGGGCTTCATCCACGCAGCTAACGCAGTGGGCTTCATCCACGCAGCTAACGCAGTGGGCTTCATCCACGCAGCTAACGCAGTGGGATTCATCCACGCAGTTAGAGTAGTGGCCAAGGTGGAGTTCTGCTTCCCTTGTGTGCGGGAGCCCACCCAGCTCTCCCTGGGGTGGGCAGTGAAAGCGCAGCCACCTGTTTCTGAGCAGCTGCACCTGTCACCAACCGGCGTGGAGATGCTCTCGCAAGCCGAGCGAAGTAGCAAAGCCTTGTAGGCATTGTCAGCTGACTGCATGCAGGGGTTGTGGGTGTGGGCCGTGGGCACAGAAGGCCACTCTGGGGCGGTGCAGGAGCAGGGACGGGAGCACAGCCAGGGTGGGGAAAGGAGAGGTGCGGAGTCGTGGGCTCGGGCAGGGCAGGAAGGAGCGAGGTTGGAGAGTCAATGGGGAGGGAGCCACGTATCACTTGCAGGTGGAGGAATAGCCAATTGAGTCGTGCCAGCCCCGCAATGCATTTATTACCGTATTCACTTACTCATTCCCCTCCCACTGGGCTCTCGGTTGTGTTTGAGGCCAAGCTCTAAATGTGAAAAGATAAAGACGATTCTGGAAGCAGTAATGAACTCTGCCTGAAGGATACATACATTCCTCCATTTACCCATCCACTCGTGCACACATGCTTGTCCCTCCCTATCCAGCTACCACACCACGCATCTGTCCACCCAGCCATGTTTCATTGTATAACCTCTCCAAATGTCACAGCCAGAAGGACATCTCCAACTTCCAGTTGTCTTGTACACAGAAAGAGCCAGGGGGTACAGGAGTCACCTCCCTGAGGCCTCTAAGGAAACAGGTGGTCCAGGCGGGTGGCAAGCCAGAGATGTGCCCGCAGCATCCCACTCCTCACTGTCTCTCTGGAGCACTTGGCTCGGAGATATGTGCTTTCCCCGTCTGGTCCCCAGAGCCAGTCCCATCAGCTGCAGGGACGGTCGCCCGGCTCAGGAGTGATGCGGAGTTGCCGGGAGCCCCATCTGTGCCTTGAGTTTGTTTTGTGTCTGTCTTATCTTGTCTCTACCTGAAGCCCCCCGCTCAGTCACATGCCACTCATGCACAGGGGACCCTCGCACTTGGGTGACTTGCCAGTCATCTTGTTTCCTTGTGACAAAGAGCAGAGCCGGGGAAGGAAGGAGTCAGGGGCTCTAGCAGGGAACAAAGTCCACTTTGAAACAGGTTGTTGTTGACCTTGTCTTTGTTTCCTTGTTTTGCCTTCTGCTCTGGGTGGGTGAGACTGCTGCTCCATTTAGAGAAGTGAGATAACGCGGGTTCCTTTATTTACAGTTCATGCAGTAAGCATACAGAAAATACACTTCAGGGTGCAAAGGGGGGACACGGACATGACACAAGTCTTAGCATGTGGGTCAAAAATGTGGACAGTCTGCCTGCTGAGGAATGGAAACTTGGTGGGCCTTCCCCACTCTACCTCCTCCACTAGGGGACAGGGTCTGCTGAAAGAGAGGGCGGGGCGGACCAAGAGCACTGGGCTCCACCTTTTTTTGTTTGTTTTCCAGGTAATTTTTATTTTCCTTTATTTTTTATTGGAAAGGCAAATCAGATTTACAGAGAGAAAAATCAGAGAGATCTTTCATTCACTGGTTCACTTCCCAAATGGCTACAATGGCCGGAGCTGAGCTAATCCGATGCCAAGTGGAGCAGCTAGGACACGAACTGGCACCCATATGGGATCCCGGCGCTTGCAGGAGGAGGATTAACCAATTGAGCCACTGCCAGGCTGGGCTCCATTTCTTAGGGGGTGAAGCTTTATAGGGAAGCCTGTCTTGGGGTACCTCTGCCTCTGTGGACCACTCCTGCTGCCTGGGAGGGCAGCAAGGTGGCCGTGGTCACACTCTGGGACCCTCCTTGGGCTGGGTCAGTGGCTCTCTCTTACATCCCAGACAGCTTTCCCAGGCCACGGTCTTCCTCAACACTGGCACAGGAGCCTGATAGGCTCTGCCGCCACCGCAGGTGAGGGAGGCCCCTCCCTGCCACAGTGGAGCAAGTACCTCCTCAGTGCGCCAGGAAGTCAAGGTCAGTAGTGGTTTCGGTTTTGTGGTGACCCTCCTTAACTCTGTATTTTTCTGGGGGACCTCCGGGAACAGGGAGGTCGGCTGAGTGGTGGGCTTCTGGGAAGCTGAGATGCTGCCAGCACCTGCGGGCTCAGCTGACCCCGGACGCCCCTCACCCACTGCAATCCTGGGTGAGGATTAATCATGACCTCTGGTGGAAGCAGTAAGCTTGGTGCTCCTTCTTGTCCATCTGTTACCTGGAGTTCTTTCCCTAGGTGCCAGCTTCTGGCCCCCTGCCAGTTCGAGCCTGCAGCTAGGGCGTTGGAGCCTGCTCACTGTCCAGACCCAGGGAAGGAGCTGAGGTCCAGCCAGACAGAGGCCAGGAAGGGCATGGTCTGTCCATGAGGTGGGCTTACGGCTGCCCTGTGGCTGGGACCTTGGAGTGCCCCAGAGGCAGGGTGTCTGGGGGGCTCAGAATCCCACACTGCTGGTCCGACCTTCTCGCCTCCAGAAAGCTGATATCTGCTCCAGCGTGACCCTGGGCTGCAGGCTCCAGTCGGGCTCAGGGCTCCCGGGTCGTGGCCTCCAGGGCGGGGGGCCGCCACCCCGCGGGGCCGGCGGGGATGGCAGTGGAGGCGATGGTCGGGGTGCCGGTGATGGTCGGGGAGCCGGTGATGGTCGGGGAGCCGGTGATGGTCGGGGAGCCGGTGACGGTCGGGGAGCCGACACAGGCCGTGGAGCCGGCGATGGCCCCGGCTGCAGCTCCGGCTCCGGCTCCGACCAGCGCACCAGACCCGCTTGGTGGGGTCTCTCCTCCCACGGGTGAGACCCCCAGAAGGTGCAGGGGGCCGGGACGGCAGGAGCGATCGTCGTGGGCAGCAAGGAGCTGGGAGCAGGGGAGTGCGACGCCAGAGGGGCAGGGGGCGCGGTGGCCCGGGCTTCCAAGGTGCCCCCCGGGGTGGGCGGGTCAACCGCCCGGTCAGTGAGCAGCGGCATCGCGGAGCCGTACCAGTCCTCGGAGCGCTCTCGGGCCGAGCTGGGGGGCTCGATCCACAGCTCTCCACCCGGGCGCCACACCAGCGTGGGCGAGTCGGGGCCGGGGGCTCGGCGCAGCGAGCGGCGGAGCAGGCGTTCGGCCAGCACGGCTGTGGTCACCAGGAAGAAGGCGGCCAGGGAGGCCAGGGACAGCATGATGGGAATGCAGGGCCCGCAGGGCAGTGAGGGCCACAGGACGGCTGCCTCGGGCTCAGTGGGCATCTCCGTTTGCCCGGAGGGCTGCTGTGCAGTCGAAGGCATCTGGGGGAAGGAAAGGGGACACAGTGGGGAGAAAAGCTGATGAGGTGGGGTGGGGGGCTGGTCTGGTCCAATCCAGGGGGATGGGAGGTGTCCCAGAAAGCTGGAGACAGACAGGGGCCGCAGAAATTTGGGTTATGGCTTCAAGCCCAGAGGAGCAAAGAAGACCCAGGAGCCAGTAAGGTGTTGGGGGGCAGGGCTCCTTCGCTATACCCACTTCCCTCACGTACACACCAGCTCCAGGCCCCAGGGTTTGTTTCCTCCCGTCCCAAGCCCCCTTGCTTCCTGCTGGGACTTGGGGAAGAAGTGGAGGGAGAGGAGATGAAAACAATTCTTCCTCCCAGGCCTTAGGGGGGGCTCCCCAGTGGGAGCTCCTCATACCCCCAAATACTGGGGGTGGCCCCGTTTCTGGAGGCTCCATGTAGCTGGTCGCCAAGCCCACGGGTAGCAGCTGCCAGGCCTGCACCTCTTGCCCCCGCCCGCTGTGCCCTGTCCCTGCCCAGCCTGTAGCTGTGTTCCCCATCCCCTCCATCTCCCCCATCCCCTCATCCCCCCATCCACAGGGCCCTCCTGCTCCCCTCACCTCGCAGTACAGTGCCACACTCCGCGCTGCCTTCCTTTCAGAGTCGCCCTGCCCTGTGCATGCTGGGAGGCGCAGGGCCTCGGTCTGCCCAGCACCCAAAAGGCGGAAGGGAGGACACCACCTGTTGCCAAGCAACTGCGCCCACTGCCCGTCCCCTGGAGCGTCTCCAGGGCGACCTGGGGGGATGTGGTCACTGTGGTGAGGACATATTTCCTGGGGAGGGTGGAGCCTGTGGGCTTGGCCTCACCCTTAGCCACCCTAGGACCCAGAATGTTCTCCCCTTCCCCCATGCCCAAAAGAGAGAGGACCAAGAACCCATTCCAACCCCAGAGGGTCACAACGCCACCTCCTGCAGAATGCCTGAGCCCCACCCCGCTCCTGTAGGAACCAGCGCCTTCACCCTCAGAACCTGCCCCCAAACTCCTTGTCCCTTCAGAACGCTTAGCCCCTCGGTGGTTGATAAGTGCAAGGGAACTTCAAATAATTCACGGGAAAATGAAATGAAAAGAAGTATTGGTGGGACTGGTGTTGCGGCCCGCGGGTTAAGCTTCAGCTTGCAGTGACTGCATCCCATATGGGCTTTGGGTCCCAGACTTGAGTTTTTGTCCTGGCTGCTACACTGATCTAGCGCCTGGCATTTGTGCCTAGGAAAGCAGCAGAGGATGGCTCAAGGTCTGGGCCCCTGCACCCACACAGGAGACCTGAAAGAATTTCCTGGCTGCAGGTTCCAGCCTGACCCAGCTCTGGCTGTTGCGGCCCCCTGTGGAGTGGACCAGCAGACGAAAGACCTCTCTGTGTCTCATCCTCCTCACCCCTTGTAACTATGCCTTTCAAGTAAAATAAATAAATCTTTTATTTTTAAAAATTATGTTTACAGATGGAAGGAAAGGCAGAGAGAAAGAGCTTCCATTCTCTGGTTCACTCTCCAGATGGCCATAACAGTACAGGGTCTCAAGTCCTCGGGTCATCCTCTATTGCTTTCCCAAGCCACGAACAGAGAGCAGGATGGGAAGTGGAGCAGCCGGGACACGAACTGGCGCCTATATAGGATGCTGGAGCTTGTAGGCGGAGGATTAGCCAGTTGGGTCATCGAGCTGACCCCCAACAAGTAACCCTTTTTTTAAAAAAAGAAATGGATGCCTTGTTTTTCAGCCACACACATTCTCTGTGAAGTTTTAGAAGATTCTCTGTGTGTGACTTTCCATTTTTGGGGGGCACCAAAACTAACTTACGGTTGAGTTACATTTTTTGTGAACTTTCTGAAGGCCCCACATATCTGCCAGGTGAGGGTTGAACAGCAAAGACGTCAGGCCGTTGGTGAGAGCCCGGTGCATGGAGAAGGCCGGGGCTGGGCTCCGAGCCCCCACCATCAGTGGGAACTGTTCTTAACGCAGGCTGCTGCAGCTCGGGGAGGCTGAGTGCCGAGCCTGGTGACATGTCCTCAGTGCCTGGAATCCAGAAACCTTCCAGAAATGATCTAGTTTGACTCATTTAGCAACAGATGACAAATAAGAAGCCTAAAGAAAGGAAATGTGCCCGAGGTCACACTACGTGTGTGCGTGTGTGTGTGTGTGCACGCGCATGGGAGTGGGAGCAGAATGATCAAAACCAGGTCAAGCAAGCTGCTGGCATGCCACACAGCTCAGAACAGGCCTGCATACCCTTTTAGCAAAATGACCACCATCTAATGTGCCTGTAAAAATAGGCTGACACACTTAGAGTCTGAAAAAAAAAAATATGGTCACAGGACAGCCTGACTCAGCTTTGTCCCGGTGGCTTCCAGGAAGAACAAGAAGGAGGGCAGGCTGCAGGCCGCCGGGGAGCCCTGAGGCCGCCAAGCCCCAGGCTGCTCGTGGAACCCTTATGGGAATACAGCCTCACAATAGAGCCTGCTGTGGTACCACAGGCCAAATGTGCACCTGGCAGTAGTCCTATGTGGTTTTACTATAAAAGCACACATTTGATTTTTCTTCTTAAAGATTTATTTATATTTATTGGCAAAGCAGATTTACAGAGAGGAGAAAATACAGAGAGAAAGGTCTTTGGTCTGCTGATTCACATTCCAAGTGGCTGCAGTGGCCGGAGCTGAGACAATCCAAAGCCAGGCGCTTCCTCCGGGTCCCCCATGTAGGTAGAGGGTCCTAAGACTTCAGGCCGTCCTTCACTGCTTTCCTAGGCCACAAGCAGGCAGCTGGATGGGAAGTGGAACAGCCAGAATTCCAACCAGCGCCCATATGGGATCTCAGCACATGCAAGGTGATGATGCAGCTACTGAGACATTGTGCTGGTGTCCCATAAGCTTAGAGTTTCCTGATTAAAATGTTTCTTTAAGAAACCAACAAAATTGAGGGCCAGCACCAAAGCGTTGCAAGCTAAACCTCCACTTACAGAACCAGCATTCCATATGGTAATTCCAGCTTCTCCACTTCCCATGGTCATTGTGTTTGTTACTTCATGGTTGAACAGGTGCCTCTAAAGATAATTCTGCAAAACACTGTGTTCATTCTTCAGTAGCAGCCCTGGAGCGACAGCCAGGACGCCAAGGCCAAGGCCAACGCACATGCGATCACCTGCCGATCACTTATTCCTACTACATTTCAATTTCTACAATTTACCCATCACATAATGGGAAAAATATGTCACAGGGGGAAAAAAAAACAGAAAGATTCAAGACAAAAGTTTCTAATTCCCCTACAACCACACCCTCTACAGCCCCATAAGCAAGCAAACAATAATTAAAAGCATATCTCTATTGATAAAAACATCCTGAAATTCCTCTAGCCAAAAATCATAAAAACGGCTGAAACAACTACATTTTCTATGCTTCAAAGAGTTTCAAGGACAGTTTAGCCTTTACGATCACAGTAACTGCATTTATCACCATGGCAGTTTCAGCTCATAGTCCCATCACTTTTTAATTTTTAGGATGCTTACCAAGCCCTTTCCCATAAGGCACGTTACACGCCTGGGTCAGATTCCAAGGCAATGGTTAGGCACACAATAAGGTGTCCAGAAACGGCCGGGCTTAATTGTACTCCTGTGTGTAAGTTGTTCAAGGCCTCCTCACCAAGACATTATCAGCAGCATTAACGCCCAAGCTCACATCGCTTGCAAAACCCATCTCACAGGGGCAAGCAACAATGCCTCGATGGATTACAGAATTCTTAGCATGGAGTGTCCACGCAAAGGGGGTGAGACTGCGTCGAGGTGGTGGGAGAGACATCCGCCAGGCCTTGTCATACAGCTGGGAGCTCCTCGCGGCCTTGCCAACAGGGGAGCTGTTCTCTCCACACCTTCGTGTCATCCACACCCGCTGCACGGACCCCAGAAGACCGGCTCAGCTCTGGCTGTCGAGACCATTTGGGGAGCGAAACGACGGATGGAAAATCTGTCTCTTCTACCTTTCTGTAACTCTCCCTTCCAAGTAAACAGATGCATATATGGCTTCAGTTTTGACGAATGTGACACTGCTGAGCCATGGGGGGAATGGTGGTCTTTTTTGTAAGGTGCTGAGACAATTGCATATCCCAAAGTACAATTTACCCAAATGTCTATCAACAACTAGACAAACACCTAGCACAACACATAAATGGAATATAATAAAGCAATAAGCTTCCACAACCTGCCACGACATGACTAATTTATACCGCATAATGTTGAGCCACTCAAGAGAGTACATGCTATACTTATTATATTTACATAAAGTTCAAAATGGGTGAGACTCACCTATGATGTCAGCAGTCTGATGCCCTTTCAGGAGGCATGGCTGAAGTGACCCTTGGACCAGAAATGTCACAGAATAGAACCTTCTGAAATGATGGAAATTTTTTCTGGATTGTACTGTCCAGTACAGTGGCCACTGGCTGGCTGTGCCCACTGAATGCATGATATGTAACTGGGAGATGGAGGAACTAGATTTCTATTTTTTTTTAATATTTATTCATTTTTATTGGAAAGATATACAGAGAGAGGAGGAGAGACAGAGAGGAAGATCTTCTGTCCGACGGGTCACTCCTTAAGTGGCCACAACGGTTGAAGCTGAGCCAACTGAAGCCAGGAGCCAGGAACGTCCTCTGGGTCCCCCTCACAGGTGCAGGGACCCAAGGCTTTGGGCCGTCCTTAACTGCTTTCCCAGGCCACAAGCAGGGAGCTGGATGGGAAGCGGGGCTGCCAGATTAGAACTAGCAGCCATATGGGATCATGGCGCTTTCAAGGCGAGGACTTTTAGCTGCTAGGCTATCGTGCCAGTCCCTTATTTTTATTTTCTAAAGACTGATGCATTTATTTGAAAGGTAGAGTAACAGAGAGGGGGAGTGGTGGAGGCAGAGAAAGATCTCTCATCCACTCCTCAAATGGCCACAACAGCCCGTGCCGGGCCAGGCTGAAATTGGCAATATAGGTTTCATCCAATCTCTCCCATTGGGTACAAAGACCCAAGCACTTGGGCTATTCTCTGCTGCTTTCCCAGGTGCATTAGCGGGGAGCTGGATCAAAGGTGGAGCAGCCGGGACTTGAACTGGTGCCAGCTCTGCAGAGAGAGACTTAACACACTACACCACCACGCTGGCCCCAAGAACTGGATTTTTTTTTTTTTTTTTTTTGCATTTCATTTTATGACATCGTTTCATAGGCTCTGAGATTCCCCCAAGAACTGGATTTTTAAATTGCATTTAAAGGCTCTTTCAGACATGCAGTGTAGAATCTGCTCTCATCAACAAGCCCAAGAGATTTGCTGGGTGCTAAGCAGATGTTCTCAGCATTAGAAGCCCCTGGGGGCCTTTTACAAACACCAGATGGCATGGCTTGAGGATGCAAGCGGGGCAAAGCTGCCATGTGGGCTTTGGCCCAATGCCTCACAGTCAAAATCCTGTCTGGTGGGAAAGGAGACAGCAGCAACAGGATGTTTGCTGGGCGGGTCT